CAAAGCAGGCAATCGTTCTCAAGGTTATAGTAATTCACTGTGCTTCCTGGTACAGAGCCTATCAGACGTTCCTGTGAGCTAATCATGATGCTGAATGTAAGTGTGGCTGTGTACAAACAAAATGCCAAGGTGACACAGGAGTGGGAAGAGACTGGTGCAATGGGCAGAAGGCAAAGAGGCGACTGAGTGTGGCCAAACTGTGTGGGGTCAGCCATGTGGGGTCTGGCCGCTGCTGTGGAGTTCAGCAGTCCTCAGGAATCTACAAGTGACTGAGGCCCTGACAGATTAAAGGCAGGGGTGGGGGCGGAGCTCAGGGCAAGCACCCATCCAGCAAGCAGGAGGCCCAGGTGGACGGGAGGCCTGCTGGGAAGGGCCTTCTCTCCTTATTCTTAGCTTGCATTTTTCAAACAAAAGTGGTTGCGTTGAGCAAAACACCATTCCCTGGGGATGCAGCATAGCCAGGCTCAGCACTACAGCCAAGAGGAGCGAACCTGAGCTCCTGTTTTCAACACATGGTGAGGAGTCAGAGGAAGGCAGTAGTGATGCAGTAGTGATCTAACCTCCAGGGAAAGGCACACGACCATTCCTCTTCTCAAGTCCGTAACTCCCCCCAAACCTTTTTTTTCCTCATTGGAAACAGACTGGAACACAGTTAAGCAATATTGTCCAGTGGGTCAGTCCAAAGCAGCCCAGAGCAAAAAACTATTTTCTGTCCTGCAAAGGGTCAGATGGCAATAGGGGAATGCCACATTTGGGGCAGGGGAGAGAAGTAGCTACATAAGCTTCCTTGAATGAACAAGAGGATGCCGGGAACACCCTAAGGACTGTGACTGACAGTTTACGCAGTGGTTCAGGGGTCCCAGGAGCCCTTTCCTTAAGAATTCTGTGATGTGCCAGGCATGGTGGTGGTGCATGCCTTTAATTCCAGTACTCTGAAGGCAGAAGCAGGCAGGTCTCTGTGTTTGAGGCCAGCCTGGTCTACAGAGTAAGTTCCAAGCCGTGCTGAAGCTACAGGGAGACCCTGTCTCAAAAAAAAAATACTGGACTGTGGTTTCCTATGTAAACAATGACTAAATTAAATAAAGTGTAGAAATGGTGCTGGAGCGCAGCCAATCACTTCCTGCCTGATCTTTGAGTCATCTGGAAATGGTTAACAAACAGGTTGGACACCTGGTTCCAACCGAAAGAAGGGGATTTCCACGTAAACTCTGCATTGTAAAGTCCTCTTCCTTCCCAGAGCAATACAGATCAGGACTGAGGCCCACCCTTAACACTCCAAATTCCTAAACCCTATTCCCTGCTAAGTTAGAGTAGGAAGTGCTGCTGACACAGAGATACAGGGAACCATGCAACTTTGTGCTTGTGAAAAGCCTTTACTTTGACAGGAAGAGATGTCCAGTGTTCCAAAAGCCACAGGACTGTGAATCTGGCTGACAAACCTCAAAAGCTGCATTTCAGCTCTGTTCCCACAGCCAACCAGCCCCTTGCAACTGACTCAAGCTCTGGGCAAGGGTTTGGGTCAGTCTTGAGAGAATTAGAATCCCAGATCTGAAATGAATCCAGGATGTTTGGGTGGAGAGCAGGGACCATCTGAAACAATTCCCACCCACCTTTTAATTTAGTATTAACACCCACACCGCAAACTGCAAGGCCAGTGGGTCAAAGAGTAGGAACAGTTGGCTCCTACCTATCCCAGCACCACACAATTCAAAAGGTATGGAGTAAGCAGCTGTGGGTTACAGCTCTTTGTAAGATCCCTTCTCAGTTAAATATGCAAATACATACAGGTTATTTGCTGCAATTCAAGGCCTCCCTTCCAGCTTCCAAAGCAAACACATTACCTCAGGTGAACTCTAGGCCCTGTAGGGGAGGAACAGGAACAAGCCCCGACTACCAGACACAAATGACTCCAACTGCTTGGAGAATGTGGAGTACGCTATGGTCCTTCTTTTCTTGTGTAAGGGCACGGAACTTTTCAGATGCAGTGGTTTCCTGTGGTGCCGCATTTGCCATTTTTTGGTGAGAAACCGGGTTAGTGCAAGCGATGAACCACTTGTAAAAATTGTACTTGTAGGCCGGGCGTGGTGGTGCACGCCTTAAAAAAACTGCACTTGCCTGGTAGTGCACACCTTTTTTTTTTTGGTCTTTTTGAGGCAGGGTCTCCCTGTAGCCCCAGCTGGCCTGGAACTTGCTATGTAGACCAGGTTTGCCTCTGCCTCCAGAGTGCTAGGATTAAAAGCATGTACAGCCCAGCAAGTGCTGATTGTGATAAGTACTAACACCCTTTATAATGAAAATAAATTAGTAAATGTCAATAATTTAAGGTGGTAGAGTTAAAAATAATTTTAACTTTCATTCTACATTTTGGGTATTATTTGTGCTTTGTACATTATCTGAAGAGGGATTCTGTAGGGCTTAATTTTAATTTAATAAGGTTTGAGTTTCATAATCAAGTCACTAATTCAGTAATTTCAGCTTTTATGAATTTGTTCAAGACAGATCTTGATGTATATATAAAATCCACGCTGGTCTCAAACTCAAGAATGTACTGCCTCAGACTCTCTGGTGCTGGGATCACAGGCTTGTGCCACCAAGTCTGATTATTAATCTGGCTTTTAAAACAACTTTTGGGGTTCGGTGAGAAGACTGTGTTAGAGGCATCTGCCACCAAGGCTGACCATTAGAGTTTGATCTGTGAGAGATCCAACTCTGACTTCCACATACACAATAAATAAAATGTAGTTAAAAAAAAACAAACCCCAACCTCAAAACCTTTCTGGCTGGGATACAGTTTAGCAGTATGCCATCTACTTAGCATACTAGAGGCCCTGGGTTCAATCCCTAGCCCTGGAAACAAGCACACACAAAAACTCTGGAAAACGTAACAACAAAATATACCCCTCATAATAAAATTCAGAACACCCAGTAAAATGTTCTTTTTTCACTTACTCTAGAGAACACTTAAAAATGGGGGAGTAGCTCCCTGGTAGTGTGTACTTAGTAATGCTCTTAACTCAGAACACTTGAAAACAAATTTCTGGAGGAGCGAATACATTATAAAATTCTTGTATGTGTATCAGATACTCAGTCTTTCACGAAAACTGGAGATAAGGTGCCTCATTAGTACTGCAGGAACAACCTGTCAGTCTCAAAAAAACTGGAGACATATGAACACTTCAGTGCAAGACTTTGCAGGAAGGCAACTTATTTAGCTTAGTGCAGTATCTGTTCAGTGAGTGACAGTTGAATGACTAAGGAAAACAGGAGTCTCATGCTGTCCTTAAGCTGGGGACACAGGCTGAGACTACAGGAACATTCACTACAGGATATACGTCAATAACTAGTATACTATTAGGGACTTCATTTCCAGCTCTAACTTGTTCTAGACTGTCAGGAGGATGGGAACAGGTGATCACTGTGCAAATAAAGGAAAATACCCCTTTCTCTGGAGTCTTGTATGCTGGATCATGCATCTATACTCAGTGACTACAGAAACCTAGGGAACCAATTCTCAGGGCAGTGCTTCTGTGTAACTGCTGGTGCATTCTACTCAACAGCCACTTAGCTGGGAAGTGTTAAGGCACAAAAGGAGACAACTAGAGATGGAGCCGGAATTTCCAAGCCATCTAAATTTTCAGGATATCAAACCATCTACTTGCAAGTCTTCTGGGCTGGAATTAAGTAGGTTTATTTTTGGAATCGTGCCCAAATTTTGTCCTAAAAATGAAAATAAATAATACAATTCATACTTAATTTCCTCTTTCTTCAAGTAAAGCAAAATAAAATGTAGGTGAAGGAAGAGGATGAAACACAACTGGAAATTAGCATAGAAACTCTGATATTGGCTAGCTTAAGAATTTAAAAATTATGTTGGTCTAAGCCTGGTGTGGTAGTGCTTGTCTTTAACCACAGCACTTGGGAGGCAGAAGTAGGTGTATCTCTGTAAGTTCCAGGCTAGTCAGGGCTACACAGTGAAACCTTGTCTCAAATAAAATTAAAAAAATTATGTTGGTTAATTTTGGTACTGCTTTTCAAGTTGGGTCAAGTAATAAAATGCTAGTCCCTGAAAAGAAAAAAGAAAAGAAAAGAAAGTTAAGTAATAACCTTTCCAAAATCCACAAGGCAGGTGACATCTTTTTATTTATTTAGTTATGATCATGGACACTACCCCAATTTCCTAGGAAGTCTTTTCTTGATACTGCTGCAATATCATGGCATAAAGGCCTCCAAGTGCCATTAGATGTAAGGACCACAGTTTCTGACTGTAAACCGTGATTCTGGGTAATGTTTGAATGAGGACATTGGATATGGATGGTCAGATGAAAGATACCAAAATGTCAGACAGCCCATCGACTGCTGTTGCCATGAGATTCAACAGTCAACATCAGTCTGATAAGCTACCCGACAAGGTGGTACAGCCATGGAGATGTCACGACGGTTGGCAAACAAGCAGACACCCAGGATTTGATAAAGCAAATTAAGCATTTCTGGTCTGTTGAGACTTAACTCCAATTCTATGCTACTTTGACGCAGTGTCAGTAACAGTTTCCTAAAGGAAAGAAAGTAAAGTTGCTTATTCTCCTACCACCAAATCAAAATGAACAGGGTCAATCAGAAAAATGTCAAAGGAAAATCACATTAAAAAGAGAACACAGAAACACTTACATATAGAAAAGTAAACTTGTCTATTAAAGTCAGAACGAAAATCAAGAATAATTTCTCTCCAGTGCCCTTTGATTTATATATCACCATGTTTCTTGCTTTTATTAAGCAAAAATTTCCCATGCTAGGTGAAGCCCACAGGTGCCATTTAGCAGTGGGCAGTGCTTAGGCCCAGCTTAACAAGATACCTTGGTGGTGGCTCTTTTCTAGCCTAAGCAATTCTGGTTGTAGATCTATTTGGCAAGGCTGCCATTTACCTGGTAGAAGCTAAAAGGAAGCAAAAAAAAAAAACCAAAAAAAAAAAAAAACCCCCATAACACTAAAGAAAGTGGACACAATTTCAGAATGATCAAAGATGTCTTTATAAAGTTTTTCATGACTTCATTCTAAATATACAGAATAAAAAATGGTGTACTCATTTGTGAGACACCAACCAGATTTTCCTTATACTGTCTCAAATTTAAAGATCATTTTCCGCAGAGGGTGTGCAATGCATCATAAAAATGGCCTTTTTGAGGGTTGGAAAGGAAGGTCTGAGCAGGATGGCATATTAAATTGTTCCATGATAGACATGCAAGACTGTTATCCAATCTATATAACTTATATACATTTTGATGACTTAGAAAAGCAATGTAATCAATTGTGACAAGCCGAAAAAGCCTGAAATATTTAAGATACTTCAGAAGGTTTTGCATGGCAGGAATTCTCCAATTTACCATGGGGCCCTTTGAAAGTAACAAATAGAGGGCCAGTTTCTGTTGTTTGCAGCTGAACATCACATCCCATCGTAACAATGTGGACTGAACTGAGGGTGGATACCTTACCTTAACACATAAAGGAAAAGTATGTCAGTGTAAAATGTGGACTAAACTGCTTTCAGGGAAAAAAAGAAAAATCAATCAACGCAGGTTGGAAAAGGGAATCTTCTTCCCTGGCTTAGAGTCCTCCCAATGTATGGCAGAACCCATCCATTCTAATTTCTGCAGTTAAAAACTTTCTTGCTTATTTAGTTTTCTCCTCTGAGTTCAACCGCTGCTGGATTCGTTTGGCGTAACTTTGTGCCATGGAGTTAATGATGGACAGGATAAAGTAACACACCATCACAACCACCAGCTTCTCAAACATCCAAGACAACCAGTTTTCTCCCTGCAGGAAAAGAACACAGAACAATTTAAGAAAAAGGCTTTCATTAGTTCAACAGTAAAAAGGAGATCATTTACAGTGTTTCAAGGAAAATAATGAGAACATGAGGCTTATTACCTATAAGACCCAAACAATGAAAAATCCACGTCTCCAGGTACCCTGACCTCCACATTCAGGTCAGGCCCTTTACACCTGACCATAAAGATTCACTCTGTGAATGCACAGCTATGTGACTGCACATAATTTAGAGTGATGGGAGTGTGGGTTCATTTTTTTACTGTGCCCTAAGAGTAGTGGTTTGGTTAAATTCTACTGCCTAAACTTGCCTTATAGATCTTGCTGAGTAGGGTTAAGATAAAAACTTTGTTCCAGTTTTAAGCTGCTTTTAAAACATAAAATTGGTAAGTCATGTTTGGACAACTGAGGGCAGCAAAGGGCTACCCAGGAAGGGCCTAAGACTAACAAAAAAACCCCTGCATTTCCTTGAGGTTCTGCAGTCCAGGCCGTTCCTTACTAGTCCTTACCCCTACCTCAGAACCCAGTACTAAGTTAAAGTTTTAAAGTTCAGCGATGTTAGGAGTTGTGATTAAAAAACAAAGAAGAAAAGATCAGATTTCTCCCACAGCTGAAATGAAAAAGGGCAGGCAGAGATTCAGTTTACCTAGTGTTTGATGATGCCGTAAATGCTAACTTTTTAACCAATCTGGGAAGTATATGTAATCACTCATTTATGATCAAGACAACATTCTCCAAAACAGGACCAGTTTTCCATGACCCCTACTCTTGATTTTGGAAGACACTCAATAGCTGTACTTTTAAAAGATAAAAGACAAATTTCTCAGTAAAGAGCACTAGATGCCTCAACTTTAGTTAAGACACTGGCAAAGAAACCTCTCTCTATCCAGAAATATGAGAGCGGTGAATCTAACTTCAGCCTGAAGCTGTGCAGGGGAGAGGAGCCCAGAACAAACTCTCACCTGTGGTGTGCCCATTTCGTTTAGGTGGTGAAGCCTCAGTCGCTGAGCCTCCAGGTATTCCTGGAATGGCTTCTGCAGAGACGGACCTATGCCAGGAACAGCACTGGAAGCAGGGTGAGGAAGCACAGGAAAGACACATTTGGGAAGAAAGCAGGAGAAACGTTAAGGAAAATCCACTTACCAGTTAGATTCAAAAATTAAAAAAGCAGGGCTTGCATAAAAAGAGAACAGACTCCAACAATCACAATTGGAAGAATCCCATGAAGTTTTGTTAATGATAAAAAATTATTCCTTCAGGCAACTCTTCACAGTAGAAAACTGTCATTAATATGCCTAGGGGGAAACTAAGAGTATATGTGGAAGCCAAGAGCCACTCTGTTCAAGAGTGAGTCTGCAGAGTGAGGCCAGCTCAGCTGACAGTGTACACTGGTGTGGCACAAAGAATAAAATGAATGACTTCTGAGAAGTCCCACATTTATCACCACCAGTTCCTGTAAGAACTGGTTTGAACCGATTAATAAGGAAATGACTTATGCTTGTGTCATCCCTAGTTAAAAAAGAAACAGCCCTCCCTCTCTCTGACTTGTCCCATCTTCTGGGGGGCGGTGCTTTCTCAATCTAAGTCCTTATTAGGACAATCCCTGCGTCATCCTTATCCAAAAAGAATGCATTAGCAAATTCGGAAGGCACCTCCCCCTAGCCAGAAGTCAGTGATTAACAAAGGAACAAAGAGACTATGGACCTTGAATCATTCATGGTTTACTGGTGGATGGTTGCACAGAAACTCCTGTACTTTACTAAACAACTTGTTCTCAGATAGAGATCTCTGATAAGGCTCTGGACCTGGATCCAGCTTGCTCTCCCGTAGAGTTAGGGCTGTTAAACTGGTCTGACAACTGCAGCTACCAGGCTCCAGTTTTAGACATGGTCTGATGGTTTTTTTAAAAATGGTAACTTGGGGCATTTTCGAAAATTAAACATCTTTATTTCCTGTATCCTTTATTTTATCATCTGTCTTATTTGTTAAAAGGCAAACAAGCCCATTCTTTAAAAGGGCCAGCAAAAGGTATTCTGAAGTATATTTACAAGAGTGCCCAATGCTCTTCCTAAAGTACTGATTCAAATTCGCTTTTACCTTTTTTTTTCTTTAACAATTAAGTTGCTGCTTTTTGTAATACAAAGCAGAGGAATAAAAGATCTTTTTTTTTTTTCCTATTATATTTACCAGAAGCTAACAATTTCCCAATTCCTGGTCATTAATTGTCTTTGCTTCTATTAACTATCAACCATTTAACAAAGGAGTCCCTAGTTTTTTTTTTTTTTTTTTTTTTTGGTCTTTTTGAGACAGGGTCTCCCTGTAGCCCCAGCTGTCCTGGAACTCACAGAGATCCTCCTGCCTCTGCCTCCCAGGTGCTGGGATTAAAGGCGTGCGCCACCATGCCCAGCTAGGAGTCCCTATTTTGTTATAGAAAAAAAAAAAAAAGAGAAAGAAATAGTGTCATTAAGCAAATTAAAATGATGGGAATTTAAAATTCTCTCTCTCTCTCTCTCTCTCTCTCTCTCTCTCTCTCTCGTTCTCTCTCTGCCCCCCTCTACCTGTGAACAAAAGACTTCATAATACTACTAAATGTTTGGTATAGAGGATATCTGTTGGACCGGCAAGGAGAAATAAGCAGGGATGAAGTGCTGCTTGAACAAACAGCGAAGGCGGAGTGGCCCTGTGCATACCAGACCTAGGACTGGCTTCAAAGAGAAGGGCCTGAGGTCTCAGTCTCAATGACTTTATTTTGTTTTAGACAAGGTCCCACTATGACCTCAAGGATGGTTTTGAACTCAAGGCAATTCTTTGGCTAGGCTGCAAGCACCACGCCCATATTTCAATGATTTCTAAGTGACTTTACTTTAGGGACCTAGACCACAGCTGCATTATTGTTTATCAGCAATGATTCTAACTACAAAGGGGGTAAAAACATGCAGCTTTTTTTTTTTTTTGAGGCAGTCTCACTATGTAGCCTTGGCTGGCCTGGAACCTGATAGATTTGGCCTTGATTTTGCAGAGATCTACCTGCTTCTGTGCTGGGATTAAAGGTGTGTCACCATGCTTGTCACTACAAAGCTTTTTTTTTTGGTCTTTTTGAGACAGGGTCTCCCTGTTGTTCCAGCTGGTCTGGAACTCACTATGTAGACCAGGCTGGCTTGAACTCACAGAGATCCACCTGCCTCTGCCTTTTTAAGAAAGTATAATTTTCTGGATAGTTCAAGTAACCTTTCCTTATATAATAGAAATAGTCCATCCATTTACATTAGAAATAAATGATCTAAACATAAAAAACAATTCTAGCAAAGTATATTTACAGACTGTCTTTGAATACAGCAGGTTCATTAAGAACTATAAGAACTTTCTTTTTCATCAATTTATTCAACCTTAAAACCAGTACTCTATGTCATCTTAAAATATGAAGTACAGCAATAGTTAAGCCATTAAGAGATAGTATGAACTGGGGCTGAAGAAGTCACTCAGCAGTTAAAAGCATTTGCTGCTCTTACTGAGGACCTGGGTTTGGTTTCTAGTACCCACTTAGCAGCTAACAACCATTCATAATTCTAGTACCAGGGGATCTGACACCCTCTTGTTGGCTAAAAAATGAAAAAAAAAAAAAAAAAAAAAAAAAAGAAGAAAGGAAAGAAAATTTCATCTGCATGTGGTAGCTCACACCTATAATCCCACCTAAGAAGAGGTGGCAGGACACAGCATAGGGCCACATGGGTTACACAGGAAGTTCCAGCCTGGACAACAGTGTGAGACCAAGCCTCAAACCAAACCAAACCAAACAAATCAAAAACCACTCACCCACCCAACCAAAGAACGAAAATCCATTCAAGGTAACATTGGGAAAAATTCTGTTAGAGTACTTCCTGATCAATCTGTAAGCAAAACCTAACATTGTAATAGTCTAGTACATATTTAACTTTACTTATGGAAATCCCTAATCTGCCAAGAAATCTGAATTCTGAACTCTATTTATATTTCCTAATAAAGGTTTGCATTATTTTGTGGTCTCAGAAATACCCCAGAGCTGGCAGAGGTGGTATACAGAATGGGTGGGATGATTAGTCCTGTTTTCCACAATCCATAGTTCTCATTCATTGCTTAATACAGAACACATACTGCTTCTAAATACACTAGAACACCTCAGTTATTATTATTCCTATTTTTCATGGGAATCCTTTCAAACTGCTTCTCAAGTTGATGTACCACACATAAACAACATCCCTAATTCACTTGAACCTCTTCTTCATCATGGAGATGGTAATCAAACTAGGTCTTGCTATTAAAAGATAGGAAATTTTCATGATTCTCTTTGGATTTTTCTAATTAGGTGTATTTTTTTGTTGTTGTTGTTGTTAATGCACTGTCATAAAACTCAGCACCATACTTAACAGGATAGCTTAAAAAATATACTGAAGCCTGGCATGGTGGTGCACGCCTTTAATCCCAGCACTCGGGAGCAGAGACAGGCGGATCTCTGCGAGTTCAAGGCCAGCCTGGTCTACATAGTGAGTTCCAGGAGAGCTGGGGCTACAGGGAGACCCTGTCTCAAAAAGTCCAAAAAAAAAAACACAACAACAACAACCCTGATTTGCCAGACACAGTAGTTAGAGCCTGCCTGAAATCCCTACACTGGGAGAACTGGGGCAGGAGGAACACACAAGGGAATCTTGTTGTAAAAGCAAGAGGCGGGCTGGTGAATTGGTTCACTGGATAAAGGCACTTGCCACAAGAGCCCGACAATGTGAGCTGAATCCCAGGAACCTACTTGGTGGAGAGAACCAACTGCTGCAGGTGGTGCTCTGATCTCCACATGTGTGCAGTGGGCAGTGGCGCACACACACACACACGATAAATAAAATAAAATGAACAAAATAAAGGGTTGGAGAGATGGTTCAGTAGTTAAGAGCACTTGATGCTCTACCATGAAGACTGGAGTTTAAATCCCAGCACCCACATCGGGCAGCTTACAACTGTCTATAATTCCAGCTCCAAGGGTTCCAATGTGTCTCTGGCCTCTGTGGGCATGTACACACACATGCACATACACTAACATAGTCATACAAACACACACAAACACATAAATAAAAAACTACAATAAAACATGCGGCTGGAAAGATGGCTCAGTGGATAAGAACACTGACTATTCTAACAGAAGACCCAGGTTTGAATCCCAGCACCCACACGGCAGCTAACAACTGTCTATAATTCCAGTTTCAGGGGATCTGACAGCCTCTTCTGCCCTCTGTGGGCACTGCACGACATGGGTGCACTTACCTACATGCAGGCATAACACTCATACACATAAAATAAAAATAATAAAATATTTAAAAAACTACAACAAAACAAAGCAAAAGGCAAAGTAAACAAAAAAACCAACAAAATTTTACTATTTTGTCAAGCAGTTGAAATTCCCCTATTACAGGGCAGGGGTATTAGTAAATTTAATTAATTAATTACATTTTTGTTTTTTTAGTCTTTTTGAGGCAGGGTCTCCCTGTATCCCCAGCTGTCCTAGAATGGCCTTGAACCCATAGAGGTCCGCCTGCCTCTGCCTCCTGAGTGCTGGGATTAAAGGCGTGTGTTTGAGACAGGGTCTCCCTGTAGCCCCAGCTGGCCTAGAACTTGCTATGTAACCAAGCTGCCTCAGTCTCATGGACTGCCCCCTGCCAGAAGTGCTGGGATTAAAAGCGGTGCGCCACCATGCCTACATAAGGGTTAAGTTTAGTCTAACCTTTGATACTTTCTTAACCACTGTTTTTCAGGCTCGTAACACTAATATGAGCATATGTTATGTTTTCTTTCCTAAATAAACCTACTGAAGTAGGGTCCTAATAAGGAGGCTATGGGTACAGAGGTATTTAGAGGTATTTTTCACTTTTCTTCATTGTGTAGTACTTTGAGACTAAGCTGTTTTTTTTTTGTTGTTGTTTTTTGTCTTTTTGGGACAGGGTCTCCTTGTAGCCCCAGCTGTCCTGGAACTCACTATGTAGACCAGGCTGGCCTGGAACTCACAGAGGTCTGCCTGCCTCTGCCTCTCCGAGTACTGGGAT